TTGGTAAGGACCCACTTCTGCTGAGCAGTTTGACTTCCACTTCTTCTATGATGAAGAACAAGACGACTTCCCGCTTTCACTATAGAAAGTTATATTCCCGTTAAATTTACCGAAAGTTATAAATTCACGGGTAGATGTTCGTTGATCATCCCATGATGCACGTGATCATAAATTAAGTTTTCCATCCGGTTTTTTTATTTTTTTGACGTAACGCGCGATGGAAAAATTACTATGAGATGACTTTTTAACCTAGAATCAAGATAAACTACCTGATTCAGGTTCCAAGCATAAAGTGGTTTGTTTGTTAATCAGAAAACCGTCTTCATAATGCCAAAGTTGATAACCGTCATGTTCAGTAGTACTCTTTTGTGGAGCAACAATAACTTTTGTTCCGTCTTTAACCGAACCCCAGGCCACAAAAAAGCCGCGTTCAACATCAACGACCGTGTTTCCAGAGGAAGACGAAGAAGAGCCAGAGACTGAAGCAGCCGTCTTAATGTAAAAGTCGTCACCCTTAGGAAACTCTGGTTGGGCACCACCCTTATCCGACATGATTGTTGTGTTATTTACAGGGTTAAATTGAAAAAAATGCTAGATGAATTCTCGTAACAAAAAAAACGTTAGTGAAATAAATATAGAATAAATAGTTAGTTTTCCGAAAACAAAAAAAAAATCCCAAATTTTCACTCCAGAAGGAATGAATTAATGAGAAATGTTTCTTTGGACAGATCCTTTTATAATCAGATGAAAAAAAAATTTTTTTTTTATATTGTTTGAAGTAAAGAAAACATTTTAATCTTTATTTGATTGATAAGATATAATTTTCCCATGCGAAAAGTAAGCAGAGTAACATAACATAACCTTACATGAAAAAAGTTGGCTGAAGTGTCGGCTAATCTCTAGTTGTCGTACAGAAATTTTGATTTCAGAAGATTTTGGAAAAAGTATGGGAAATGTTACGATGTGACGCGTACGTACGTACGTACGTACAATTTTTTAAATTTATTTTTTTTTATATTTTATTTTATTATTATTATTATTTCACAAAACATCATATCGATATCTGATAAAAAAATAAAAAATAAAAAAAAACATAATCGGCATATATTATTATTATCAATGATATTCAATAATTTTATATCACTGAAAATTCGGTTTAATTGATAAATAGTTAACTGATACGTAAAACTGATAAAATTGATAAAAGCCAATTTTAAGCATATATTATTTAATAATAATAAAAAGTGATCAACGGGTAAATAGTTTATACATTATATTAATAATTAATAATTAATAATCTTTGATAAAAATAAAGATAATAATTTCCATAAAAGTATTGTATGATTAGCCCGGTTGAAACACTTGGTTTGTTTTGTTAATATTTATGTCGGAAAATGTTATGCAAGCGTGGTGATCCATCAAAAACGTAAAGATTTTATGTAGGTAAACTTAATAAAGAAGTTTAAAATGTATACGATTTTATCGTTATGTAGATCTTATTTTAACATTTCCCGCCATTCGGGTGGTACTGGTTTTCGTGAAATCTCGGGCAAATTGTTTGTGTAACAATATAGGCATAAATTAGCTAGGGAATATAGTTTAATTAATACAAATATTGAATATTTACACTTAACCATAAAAGTTTTAATTGAAACGGAGCAAAGAATGTATATGTCTGATGGCAAACTCAACAATCATGTACGAACAATTCTGCGATTGAGAAAGATGTTTAGAAGCCTCCTTGAAAGGTCGAGCTTTACCTATTTCTACCAAATTAAACATAATAATACGGCATACGACATAACATATAAAAGTAAGGATTATTTGCATATTTATTATACATATATTATACATATTATACATCATACTTAACACTAATTGGACAACTAAAATGAGTTACATTAATTGGATTACGAAACATTAGTGATACATACCTATAATGTCAACAATAACATTCAACATTATAAATATATATTATTATAAAATATTATACGATTTATATATCACACCCAAGTTACACCTCAAAGTTTCACCTCACCTCCAAAAGTTTTACGTCAAAAATTAAACAAAGTTGATCGATGGGATCGATTATACATCTATTACTTGCATTGTCTCACATGACTAAGTGCACGTGTAGTTATTGCGATAACTTAAAAGTAAAGAAGGGAACACAGATCTACATGTGATATCAATTGGATATTTTTTTATCGCATCTTTTCATGAATTGCTAAGATTAGATCGACGAACTTTCTCGGTTTAACACATTAGTTAAAAAAAGAACATGCTCCTGCATATAATTTCCAAGTATTTCTACGGAATTATTAATATAGTTAGTCTAATTAGCCCAAATTTTCTGCCACTGATTTATTTGCGATATGCCTTTTAGAATAGATTGGCGTGTGAAATGTAATATGCAATATTGTTACGTATGCATATTTACCAAAATTTTGCATTAAAAAAAAACTTAAAAGCTTTACAAAAGATTATCTAAAAGACAGGAGGAAAGCCTGTTTGGCGTCATTATTCGACATGACGTAGTATTTCGGTGTAATATACATTAGTTGATTTAGTAATAGTCTGATCAAATAAACATCACAACTTTTTTAATCACCGCTTCGATCACCGTTTACGCTTATATTTATCTATTTTTATTTATCATTGCAGCATTGACCTAAGATGCCACACGGACTTAATATTTTTTTAACCTTTTTTTTCCTGTTACGTAATCATCATAATGTAGTTAAACCACTGTATATATAAAATTATATATACTATAATATATATTTCATATATTTCATATAATTCATGTGAAAATTATTTAATATATATATAATTCATATATTCATATATAATTCATATATTCATATATATTTCATGTATTTCATATAATTCATGTGAAATTATTTATGCACTATATATTGGCTGCCAAGTATTTTAAACCATCTTAACCCATCTTAAACCATCTCAACAAAGAACCCATTCATTCATATTGCAGTATTAACCAATTTATTACATACATTAATTAATTAGCCAAATATTATCGATTATACACATCATACGTATAAAAGTATCTGATATAAGTATACTAATTGCTCTCGGATGTTAACTTTCTTTATAAAAGTTTTTATTGCCTTCCGGAACCTAAATTTTTCGTACATCTCGAACATTGTTTTTAAAGAATTATTTTGACCGTCTTTAGTATAGCCCCGTTTCACCAGCTAATACGTAACCTACTTAACGTAATCTTCCTAAATAAAGTGCTTACGTACCTGGTGCACTACAAATAGTACGAAACGGTAATCACAATCATATGTTTCATAGTGTAATACATAGTAAAAGAATTATACCTACTATGTAAAGTATCCCCAAATTCTTTTACATATTAAGTTTGGCAAAAAAAAAAAAACGGTCTTCGTACATTACACATGAACAGCAGATTATCTATGTTCACGTGATCGAATAATTTTCTCGATCTTTCAACAAATGATTTTATGGAAAAAACAGGAAGAAGCATTTATCCTGAAAGAAATTGTATAACGATTTCAGAATATTGAAATCCAGAATATGGATATTTAGAAATAAATTCTGATTTAAAATCTTAATAAGGTTAGCATGTGAAAAATGGCTGAATCGTCCCAATGAGAATCAGCTGATAACAAAATCTTTTCAATTTCATTATATTATTTAATTGTATCTCAGGAGAATTTATCGAATGATTTCTATCCATTCAATTCGTCTTGCTGAGACGAATAAAAAAAACTATTTGATTCTGATTAGTAGTTTATAAGATATTATAAGATATACTTCAATCATTAACAAAAATACTTTTTTTTTTTTTTTTTGTTTATTTGTTTACATTGTTCATATTGTTTATATGACAATGACAATATGACAATATATCATGATCCTCCCATTTTACTCATCCACCGAATTATCCATATCCGCTTTTGTTTTTTATAGATGCTAATTAAAGTTTCATGTAAATTATTCCTGTCTTTACCAACATAATTTTGTTATAATTTTGTTATCATTGGCATCTTAAGTCCTAAAAACCTGGAAGGTGGTTTATTTTAATATATATTTCCGTATAAGTTGGCATTATGAACCGAATTCTTGAAAAATAGACAATAAAATAAACCACGCAAACGATATTGAGAATTATGTATCATTACTAATGAAAGGTAAGTCCAATAGTTAGATTCTAGATCAAAATTATTTTTACTCAAGTTTTATGTTTTGTTTATCTTTTAAAACAATGATGGAAATATCATTGACGGCGCATGTATCATCGTAACCCAAAACATTCTCTTATTTTCAATGCCAATTATTATCTTTTATTGTTTAAACCTTTAAAATTATCCAATTTTTTGATTCTATATAGCCCTTAGTTGATCAAGGAAAATCAAGTTCCTTTGAGTGTATTCTTTTGCATTTTTTTGGAAAATAGGTACTTGAAAGGTTCTCTTATTAGTAATTTTTATTTATATATTTAAATATATAAAAGTTACATAAAGTAATTTTGTGGTTTATCAAAGGCCGGATGAATACCTCTAAACAGGGTTGGCAATGGTCTCAATTTAGAACCAGATGAGCCTCAATGGGTACTAAGATTCATTCGGCTAAATTGCCGTCTTTTCTCATTGTCAACCCTGCCTTCAAACCTGTACCTCCAAACCTGTACCTTCAAACCTGTACCTTCAAACCTGTACCTTCAAATCTGTAAATTGCAACGTACATTATTTTAAGCGCACAATTGATAAAATAAAATAGAATGAGTTAAAGAAAATTCAAACAGCAATAGTTAATGCTATTAAAGAATGTTATTAGCGACTTGATTTTATTGTTATTTTTGTAATTTCACTAAATTACACATACCCAAGACTTCCTTTATTAATTAATAAGTATATCATGCAACTTCGGATTATCATAAACCTATTCCTCTGCATCCTAGAATTAAGCACTAACAGAAGATTATTTGGCGGAAAGCCTTGTAATCTATAATCGGTCGTAATCGGAAACCCTGCATAATCTCGCAAAACTTTCCGATTTTCTGGGGAAAAAAAAAAAAAAATCGAAAATGGAAGAAAGAAGAAAAAAAAAAAAAAAAAGATCCATCAATCAAGATATAAACTATCGAAAACGGAAAAAAAAAAGATCTTTATGTACTTTTTTAGGTGTACGCGTGTCAACAAAAATCAAAGATCAAAAAAAGTAGAATCAATTATTTAACTAAATTGGCATGCTCTCCGAAATAGGTTTAGACTTATTTACCAACTGCCTTAGCGTTACTGTACCACATTAAAAAATCCGCGGCCAATCAACCTTTGAGATAAGATATAATGCAAAATCGTTCATTGTCTATTGTCTATGAAACTGCGCATTTCACGACACTATCTATGTTTTTTTGTGAATTTTGGTATTAATAAAGCCTTTTCTAGCTTAATATTATTATATGAATCTATTCGAAAAAGAAAGCCAATAAAAAAAAAACTCCCAATATAGTATTATAAAAATCTACTATTGCTAAAATATAAAACTATGACGTAAAAATT